TTAGTGTGAGTTCATCCCTAAGAGAGAGAACCACACCAAGGGAGTCTGAGATATAACAGTGAAGAGGATGAGCCTTCTCTCTGCTCTCACAGTGGTTAGGACAATAGACTAAACAAATAATTTCATGTATTAATCATCTTTAGCAAAAAGTTTAGAGTGCTATGAAGAGGAATCATTAAAAAGGTTAGTTTAGATTGAATCCTGAAGGGTAAATAAGGGACGATCAGGGGAAGATAGAAGAGAGCTCAATAAATGTGTTGGACTTATGAAATTTACTTACAGAAATATGATGTTCTACCTCCTAAATAACTATTTAATTGACTTATTTCCATTCCCACTCTCTAGTCAGCCTATCAATGTGTCAATCCTAGATAATTACAAGTGTCTTAAATCATTCCCCTACATTATTCAGCCCCCTTCCAATTCACTTTCCAAGTTGCAGAAATATATTTAAGTAAAATTCCATCACATTACCATCAAGTACAAACTTTAAATGACCCTGTGTGATATAATAAATACCTTCCTTCCAAACTTTATTTTGAGCCATTTTTCTTATGTTCTTTGTGTTACAACTAAAGTGATCTTCCAGTTTCTTGCATGTGCAAAGGTACTCCTTCCATGTGGCCTTCACAAGTGCTCTTTTCAAAATCTTAGAAGCTTTTAACTACTCACCTTCCATTCATTTGACTGGATCTGTACCACCATCTTCTAGCTTAAACTGTCCTGTGGAAGATCCCCCTAGCCTCCTAACCTAATAAACGTTATATTACAATCTCTGTTGATCTTTTCTAGGACCTTGCAGGGTTGTGATTAATTGATTTAAAATAAACAGTAAATTATATATTACATGCTTCTTTCCTACATTAATATGTATGTTCCATAAAAGATGTCTCTGCCTTCTTATTTTTTAATATATTCAAAACATCCAGTACCATGTTTGTTCTTGTTTAGTTGTTAAATAATTTCCAACTCTTTTGTGACCCCTCTTTGGACTGTAGCCTGTCAGGCACCACTGTCCATGGAATTTCCCAGGCAAGAATACTGGAGTGGGTTGCCATTTCCTTCTACAGGGGATCTTCCCAACCCAGAGATCAAATCGGTGTCTTCTGCATTGGCAGGAGATTCTTTACTACTGTGCCATCTGAGAGCCTAATGATTAGCAAATAGTAACCTAATGTCTTTACCATAATTATACTATCAGCACAATACCATCAGTCATCTTTCCACGTATCTGCAAAATGGGTTACCATGCTACTTAGTGAAACACCTGTTCAAGAACATATGACATACACATATCTATTTAACTCGGTTGTTTGGTCAATTGCCTAGTTACCTATCAGCTCCAAAGTGCCATCCTAGAGAATGCATCAAACCTGAGTCACTACTTCATTTTTTTTAAACAAAGCTGTTCCCAATCAAACCCCTCTTTTCATTCTTGGGTAGAATCTTTATAAAGTATCTGATTTTCTACATTATTTTCTACATTATTTTTCTACATTATTTTCTACATTAACTAACTTAAACCAACATGCAGAGAAATCTAAAGGCTGTGCTACATGCCCCTTTTCAGGGCAACCACAAACAGTAATCATGGCATTTTATTTCCCTGTGTGTGCGTTAGTCACTCAGTCATATCTGACTCTTTGTGACCCCATAGACTGTAGCCCGCCAGGCTCCTCTGCCCATGGAATTCTCCAGTCAAGCATACTGGAGTGGGTTGCCATTCCCATCTCCAAGGGCTCTTCCCGACCCAGGGATCGATCCCTGGTCTCCTACATTCAGGCAGAGTCTTTACCATCTGAGCTCTCCTCACTCGGTGCTAACATTTATGTTTACTTACTGAGCATTTTACGTGCTGGTCAGCTTTAATTCAGCTAACCCTCACCACAGCCTTATCAAACAGACATCACTATTATCTATATTTTCCACATAAGGAAACTGAGGTACAGTGAATTAAATAATTTTTTCAAAGTTACAAAAAATATAAGTGGCAGAACTATCATTTAAATCTAGGTGCTCTGAACCATTAAGGTGTAAGGCCCTCCTGTGAGTTCACAGGGTAAGTGCCGCTCTGCTTTGCTCTTCACAGATTCCTTCTATGCCTAATATGAGGCCAGGCACATAATGGGTGCGCAGTAAACAGACCCTGAACGATCATATGAGGCTTCTTTGTCATTTGGTATCTTGCAGGTCTCCAGCCCAAACTAAGACTATCAGTGTTGAATACGTTAACCATAGAAGGCAATACACATAAAGGACAAGAACTGCAACATTTCTCAAAGCAACATCACTGATTCAATCATCCTAACTTGGACTCAGGAGTCAGATTACTTGCACTCACCTCCTGCCTCTCCACTGGCTAGCTTTGTGATCCTAAACGATTAATCTATTCTATGTACCTCAGTGTCTGCACCTTTAAACCAGAATAATAATTTTATCTGTATAGGGCCTAATGATTGCTTTAATAATAAAATATACTCTAAAATAAACTTTGAACCTTGACTGTCATGTAATAAGCTATGAAGAAATGTTATCCTTAGTATTACTTTACCGCTGGGGAAATCAGTATTGGCCATTTCCAGCGACTGGTGTAGTTAGTCCAGTTGAATAAAGAGATCCTGTGCAGTTGCTCCTGACAATTAGGCCTGTGAAAAATAAATATTCTGTCATCTCGTTTTAGACTACTTATTCTATATTACCCTTTGACTGAAGAGTGAACATTCTGGATAGCACAGACTTCTGAATTGGGATAAAGAGAGCAAAAGTGTGATGTGATTTCCCCTGTGCACCAGGGGAGTTAAGTCTCTTAGGGCCTAGAATCAGGCCCCCATGGATAGTATCATAGGTCTGCCATAGCCCATAGTCACATCTAGAAGGGAATAACTCTCCCAGGAAAAGTACTCCTTATCCCTTGAGAGGGGCAGAGAGGAGCATTTGGAAAGCACCTTGGCAGAGCAGAGGCATCAACACTCAGGTCTCTCTCTTATGAGGCTCACTTCCTCCAACTCTCATTATTGTTATTTGCCTCCCTGTCTCTCCCTTCTCTCTCAATCTCTCCCATTTTACTAAAATATAATGTGTATATTTTACAGAAAAGTAGACAACACAGATAAATAATAAATCTCCTTGATTCTCACTAGCCAAAAACAACTACTAACACATTTTTGTTAAGTGAAAGTCGCTCAGTTGTGTCCAACTCTTTGTGGCCCCATGGACTATGGCATGCCAGGCTCCTCTGTCCATGGAATTCTCCAGACCAGAATACTGGAGTGGGTAGCTGTTCCCTTGGCCAGGGGATCATCCCAACCCAGGGTTCAAATCCAGGTCTCCTGCAGTGCAGGCAGATTCTACACCATCTAAGCCACCAGGAAACCCCATGAATACTGGAATGGGTAGCCTATGCCTTCCCCATGGGATCTTCCTGACCCAGGAATCTAATCAGGAGCTACCGGGGAAGCCCAAATTTTTATTACTTCCTCCAAATACTTATTGTGTGCAAATGTATGAATGTTGAACAATAATATTATATATTATAGTTTTATCCAGAGTATACATCACAGTATCCTATAAATAGGGGGCTTCTCAGATGGCTCAGTGATAATCTGCTTGCTAATGCAGGAGACATGGGAGTTGCAGGCTCAATCATTAGGTTGAGAAGATTCCCTGAAGGAGGAAGTGGGAACCCACTCCAGTATTCTTGCCTGGAGAATCACATGAACAGAGGAGCCTGGCAGGCTATGCAGCGCATTGAGTCACAAAGACTTGGACATGACTGAGCACACACACCACAACCACGCTATAAACAATTTTTGTAAAAACTTTTATTTGAACTACTATTTTATAGTGGTTCCTACATTCTTCTAAGCTATCTTAGCCTAGAAATCTATTGTTGCAGCCATATATCTTTTGACTAGCTTAGATTTTGTTGTCTTTTTCTTCATATTTTAATATTTGAGAGGTTTACTCTATGCCTGTCCATTGTTTTCTTTTTTTGAAGTAATTTTGAGGGAGAGTAATCTCAATTGTACAAGGATTCTAAACCAATTTTTAAATCATGTTGTTGCATTCCTCAGATTATTCACAATTAAGTCAAGTGAACTGGGGTGAAAAGCAACATATTCGATATTTATTTAATCTTTCCACCAAGGCATGTGCTATTTGTGTCCAGTCATTCAAGCTTACTTCTAAGTAAGTATCTGATAAGGGGTTTATCCCCAAATCATGTAAGGAGCTCCTACAGTAGCTAGAAACGAAAACAAAATCATGTCTGAGAATCTCATTTTACAATGTGCTAAGCAGTTAAATGGAAGTTTCTCCAGAGACGATATACAAATGGCCAATGGGTATATGAGAAAAAAAAAAGATCAATGTCATTAATCATCAGGAAAATCCATATTGAAAACAAAATGAGGTATCACCATACATCTGTCAAGATTGCTGTTAAATAATAATAAAAAAACTGGCACAGATTGATGGAATGTAAAATAGTGCAAATGGGATGGGAAGCAGTATGGAGTTGCTACAAAATTAAAATTTTGTAGAAATTTTGTAAAATTAAAAAAAATTCTACAAAATTAAATGTAGAACTACTTTTCATATAGTCTTGAGGAAAAGAATTATTTGACCATTGTCACAGTGTTCACAAGGTAATAAGTAAATTTTTATATGATAATTAAATTTAAAAATGGGTAAAAGAAACATGTAACAAAATGAGCGATTGATTTTAGGAGACACGTTTGTGGATTTAAAAAAAAAAATGAGCTTTTATTTATTTATTTATTTATTGGCTAAACTACAACTCAGTGTAACGTGCCAAAACCTATTGTCTTTGGTCTTAACTAGTGCCAGGCTGTCATCAAATATCTGGTGGAAGAAATCCTAAGGGTTTATTCCTACCCAAAAGGAAGTTTAAAAAGTTGTCAAAGCAGGTATTGAAAACCCCAATTTGTGGAGTAATAGGAAATATCCAGTGACTTCATTTCTTTCCTTGAGCTTCTGACTTAAATCTTGGTTCGCACTAGCATTCTCCCAAGCCTCCATCTAATCTGTTTTGTTTTGATTGAATAGATGACAGGATTCAGCACGGGAGGCACAAAGAGAAAAATGAGGGACATGACTGTGTACACCAATCGGGGGACGTGCTTACCAAAACGGGCAGTCATGCACACAGCAATCTTGGGCACATAGAAGATGAGCACAGCACACAGATGTGACCCACACGTGTTGAGTGTGTTTAATCGTTCCTCCCGAGATGCAGTGGTAAGTACAGAGCGCAGGATGAGCACATATGAGAAGAGAATGAGTGCAGAGTCCAGACCAAAGGTAAACATGACAATGATGAGACCGAAAATACTGTTGATGGTGATGTCACCACAAGGAAGGTGGATGAGATCTGGATGAAGGCAGTAGGCATGGGACAGTACATTGGCCTTGCAGAAGGGCAACCTCTTCAGAAGGAAAGGCAGTGTGAAACCATGCAGAAGCTGCGGATGATGGCCCACAAGCCCATGCACACAACACGGGAATCTGTGAGCATGGTGGTATAGTGGAGAGGGTTACAAATGGCCGCATAGTGGTCAATACTCATAACCAGCAAGACCCCTGATTCCATCAAAGAGAAGAAGTGGATAAAGAACATTTGAGCCATGCAAGAATCAAAGCTGATCGTCCTTAACTGGAAGCAAAATGTGGCGAGCACGGTGGGCAGTGTGGAGAAAGACACACCTAGATCATTAACTGAGAGCAGGGACAGGAAGTAGTACACAGGCTGATGCAAACTCTGCTCCTCCTTGACAATGAAGAGGATAAGGCCGTTGCCCACGATGGAGACAATGTAGAGGGTACCGAGGAGCAAGAACATCCAGTGTTCGGAGTTCTCCAGCCCTGGGAGCCCGGTCAGGGTGAAAGTTGGCAACCCTGAGCTGTTGTAGAGGACACCTCCCATGCTGGGAGGACTTGAACTGTAGGAACACCACCTGTAGAGAAGACAGACGTACAGTTTATTCATGACCTATTTTCTCACTTATGCCATCCAGACCCTTACTTTATAGCTTAATCAATTTTTTACCACATCACTCCTTGCCCCTCATGCTCCCCATGATTTCTGGAATTGTCTAAGTGTTTTCAGGTTATTCGGCTGGCTCACCAGGTCACATTACCTTCCTCTATATCTGTGACTATCTCCACCATGCTCTTCTTCACATTCAAAGCTATGAACTTGTTATCAATCTACAGGCATCACTTTGTTCAAGACCTAAGATATCATCCTCCTGATGACTACTTCCTGGACTGTTCTGAACATTCCAATTATTCCTCAAGCCGTAAACTTTTCCTTTTTCCATTCTCTCACTCTACTGTCTCTACTGATAAGTAACATCTGCTCATTATCATGACTCTCAGGCTTTCTTACTTCTACACAGTCTCCCAGTTCTTTCTTGCATTTATCCAGACAGAAGTTAGGTGGACAGGAAGATATAAGTCCACAGAGACAATCTTCCAGACATACATCAAAATGCACTAGGACCCCCTTATATATACTCATCTATTCATTCTTCAATCCACCTCACGGCATTAATTTTCACCATGAATAACTTAATATACTAAAGTATTTTCTTAATAACTTCCTTCAGATCTAAATAGAACCTGAAAGCCACATGACTAATAATCAGTTTTCTTATCCATGGTTATGCAGATAGTTGGCTCTTATCTGTGTTCTCCATCTCTTTGAATAATAGTATTATTATGACTAAGTTCGAGATGCAAAATTCAAAGATCACATTGCCATGTTCTTTCTCTGTTTGTTGTTATTGTTGTTGTTCAGTCACTAAGTCATGTCCAATTCTTTGAGACCCAACGGAAGGCACATGCCAGACTCTCTTGTACTTCACCATCTCTTGGAGTTTGCTGAAATTCATGTCTATTGAGTTGGTGATGCGATCCAACCATCTCATCCTCTGTTTCCCTCTTCTCCTTTTGCCTTCAATCTTTCCCAGCATCAGGTTCTTTTCCAGTGAGTTGGCTCTTCACATTAAGTGGCTAAAGTATTGGAGATTCAGCTTCAGCATCAGTCCTTCCAATGAATATTCAGGACTGATTTCCTTTAGGATGGGCTAGTTGGATCTCCTTGCTGTGCAAGGGACTCTCAAACAGTCCTCTCCACAATCTGCAAGCATCAGTTCTTCAGCACTCAGCCTTCTTTATGGTCCAACTCTCACATCCATACATGACTACTGGAAAAATCATAGCTTTGGCTGACTGACTTTTGTTGGCAAATTGATGTCTCTGCTTTTTAATACCTTGTCTAGGTTTGTCATAGCTTTCCTTCCATAGAGCAAGCATCTTTTAATTTCATGGCTAGAGTCACCATCCACAGTGATTTTGGGGCCCAGGAAAATAAATTCTGTCACTGGTTTCACTTTTCCCCATCTATTTCCCATGACGTAATGGGATAAAATGCCATGATCTTATTTTTTAAAGTTTAGTTTTAAACCAGCTTTTTCATTTTCCTCTTTCACCCTTATTAAGAGGCTCTTTAGTTCCTTCGGCTTCTATATTAAATGGGACAAGATAAAGAAAACAATGACCCAACTGCCTCTGCCAGCACTTTTGCCCATTAATTTCTACAGTCTCACACTTCAGATCCAAGACATCACATGTTTATGCCATAATAATCTTATTCTACTGAATCCCGTGTCTCTATTTCATTCTTTATTCTGGTTAGGATAGTATTTCCAGGGGGCAGATCTTAAAATAGCAACTTTTTTTATTAGAAAACTTGAATGCCCCCTCATTTTCAAACAGTTCAATCCAAACTCACAAGCCTAGAAATAAAGGTTCTCTGTGTCAGTACTAGATCAATATTTTTGGTCTCAGTTCTCAACATTTTCCTTACTTGTACCTTACCCAGATTGGTCTATTTGCTGTTAGTCAAACATTAACTACAGCTCCTCAACTCCCAGAGTTTCCCAGAATGTGTCAACATACCAATTCAATCCATCTTCCAGGTTTCAGGATCAATGATGCCCTCCTCCTGCATGAAACTCTGACTGGTCACTGCAGTGGAGGTATCTGCTCTCCTCTCCTCACCACTCTCATAAGCAGTAGATTTGCATCTCCTTTTGTGCCTGTTTCTCTGCCTGTTCTGCAGTAGATCTTCCTATTATGGAGTTAGGATAGTTCCTGCTGAATTATGAAACTTATCTCCCCTTCTGACTCACCAGTTCCAGGAGACCAACACTGACACTTAAGCATTGTTTCAGTCCCTGCTGTGCTCAGTGCAAACCCCAGCACGGGAGATGCACTCAGAAAGTCACTGATCCCACAGGGTTTTGATTCTGTTTTTTTGCAAATTGGGGGGCGCTAAGGAACTTTGGTATAAAGTAGTGAAAGACCAAAAGTAAACTGTTGTGAAAACCCTCAGGACCAAATACTTTGCAACTGTGAGTTCTAAACCTGCTCTAAGTCTGTTCCTCCTGCTTTATTTTGCGTTTGTTCCTCCATCTGCATTAGGACTATCCTATTAGGTCTATCCTTTCTTCCCAGGATGCCTTCTTTTTCCTCCATTCCACATTCATAAAATCTTTTTGTTTTCCCCATCTGCAAGCTCTTCCTAAACATTTCTGTCTGCCTCTGCATGCAATATGCAGATATCCTTGATTTGGAGGTGTGTGTGGGTTTTTTTGTTTGTTTGTTTGTTTTTTTAGCACTACTTAGGGTCTTGACAAGTGTCTTCCAAAGCATTCAAAGTCTTTTTATAACCCTCTGCCCATACTCACTTATTCTGATAAAAGAGCAGGGGAGTAAGGGGTGCTTATTCATATGAAGACATCTACATTCAAACTACTGGTTAATAAGTGAGAATCCCTGCAGAGAAAGGAATATATGACGTGGAAACCACAGCAAGATTTCAGAGAACAAGAGTAACAAATGGAAAAGAGAGAACCATAAAGTGATTCTTTAATGTGAAAATATGCAGAAAAAATTTTAAAAACCCGACTCCTCTAGGAACAACCTTTCTGTCTTCATATTGTCATATTATAACACTCAGAGTTTCTAAGCTAGTCAGAGTGCCTCGGAGCCTGAGCCTTGAGTGTCTGACACTTCACTTTACCTACCTGAAAGATCTGTGCCCGGGGGGTGCAGAAGAAGGAAGGGAAGTTGTGGGGGCCCTGCCCATACCCCCGCCTCCTCTGCCAAGTCCCTGGCCTGAGCAGTATAAGGCTGCATCCAGGATGTCCCTTGAGCATAGATCAGCTCAGCAGCCCAGGACTACTGGGAATATGGAGCATCTGCAGTGCTCCTCCCTCTCTGACTTGGTAATTGATTTCCCAGAGGGATATTTAGCAACAGAATGATGAGAAGTAGAAGTGACATGCAAGAATACTGTATCTAGTCCCTCATTTTATAGAAGAGGTTATTAAAACTTAGAAAGAAAAAGAGTTATTGCAATTTTATACAGCTTGTTAGTGGCAGAATATTTAAACCTTCATCTTCTAATTCAGTTGATGGCCTTTCCACCCTATAACTATGACCATTACCCACAAGAAATGCTGTGTCATATCTGTGTCCCAGGCAGATATTAGTTTTATCTATATTTTGCACATAAGGAAACGGAGGCACAGTGAATTAAGTAAATTTTTCAAAGTCACAGACTATATAAGTGGCAGGACTAGCATTTGAACATAGGTGCTCTGAACCATTATGTTGTGTGGCCATACTTGAGTTCAGACGGGATGTGCCTCTGTTTCCTTCTCCATGGGTTCCTTCTTAGCTTAACATGGGACTGGCACACCAGGGGTGCTCTGTGAACAGACACTGAATGAGCAGACCTGACTTCTTTGTCACTTGGTATCTCCCAGATCTCCAGTCACACTAAGACCACCGATGTTACACATGTTTAGCCAGAGAAGGCCATACACATAAAGGACAAGAATTGCAACATTTTTCAAAGCAGCACCACTGATTGAAATCAGCACAACTTGGATTTGGGAATCAGACTGCCTGAGTTCACCTCCTGTCCTTCACTGACTAGCTATGTGATCCTGGTCGCTTAATCTATACTGTGCATCTCAGGGTCTTCACCTTGAAAGCAAGAAGAATAATTTAACTACTTTGTAGGCTTGAGGATAAGACATACTGAGTGTTAATAATTAAATATGTAATAAAATAACCTTTGAACCTTGACTGTCACATAATAAGCTATCAGGAAAGGTTATCCTTTTATACATTACAGCTGGTAAAATGAGCATGGTCTGTGCTGTGCTTAGGCTACTTTAAATGACTGGTGGAGTTAGTGCAGTTGAATAAAGAAACCCTGTGCCCTGAGGCCTGACAATGAGGCCTGCAACAGATAGATGTACTGTCATTTTGTTTGAAACTAATTATCCTATACTAGCCTTTGACTACAGAGTAGGTTCTGGTGAATCTGGATAAACGGAGCCAAAGTTTGAGGTGTTTCCACTATGTATCAGGGAAGATGAGTCTC